GCGGTGGTCGGCGGCGACGAGGCGGGAGGAGCCGGGTCTCCGGGGGAGGCGACTGGACTTTTACAATAAAAGCTGCTCCCAGAGCCAGGAGCGGGGTCCTGCCCTTCGGAGGGGACAGGTCGGGGGAAGCGGTGCAGCGCCTCCCCCTCCTACCCGCCAAGGCCGGGCCTTTCCCCTTTCCGGAGACTCCACGCCACGGCCCCGGGCGCACACCGTCCCCAGCCTCCCAGGTGCCATCGCTGGGAGACAGATCGAGGCTGCGCTTCCGCAGCGACGCTCACGGCTTTGGGGTTCCTGGCCGGGTGCACGGCGGGGGCGCGTGAGGGGTCCTTTCAGATCCTCGCCGAGCCCGCCCCAGGCAGAAGCGCCAAGGGGAACGGGGCCGAGTCTGTGCGGGTGTTGCTGGGGTGCGCAGTGTAAGACGCCCCGCGTTTCTCCTCCACGCTCCCTCCCCTCGGCGCACTGGGGCTCTTGCTACGCATCAGTTAGACTTCGGCCCTGGCTTTCCGGGGTCCCCCCACTCGCCCACGACTCCCGGGTGAGAAGGGCACTGTGCCGCCAGCCTGACGCGGCCACTTTTGCCAACCACCCTTCCCTCTAGGCCTCGGGGTTTCCAGTGGATAGAACCACGGCCACACTCACGGGGTCCTTACCGCCCTGACATTAAAGAGGCTGCCGCATTGTGACCCCTTCCCGCGGAGGCTGGGGGTGACTTAGAGGCATTTTAATTTTATTTTTATTTTTAGTGCTTTTCCTTGGGACAAAGAAGTGTGCTGTCCCCACCCCCTCAACTCCCCTCCAAGGATGTCAGCTGGGTCCAAAAAAAGGAAAATCATTCCCAAGGTCTGCCCTACTGCAGAGGGGCTTCCCGGGAGTGGACGCAGGGACCCCAGGCCATGCTACTCCTCTTATCCCACCGGCTCTCCCCGGCGGGTCCGCGGGAAGGCAGGAGCCGGGAAGGGTGGCAGGGGCCCTGCGACTGCCTCCTCCGGCCGAAACCCACAAGTGTCCGCTGCACCGAACCAACAATCAGCGGCCTCGCGCCTCCCTGTTCAGTTGGAATGACAAATGCGTGGCACGCAAATTGCCCACCCTGTGTGGCTATGCGATTGTTTGTCAGCCCGCAGGCACCGCTCAGCAGGGAGGACCCGGAGTGGCCGAGGCGGCTGGCGAGCGCGGAGGGCAGAGAGGCGGTAAACACGCTGCTGATTTCCCCCATTATCACCCAAACACGATTTCACACGAAGCAATCACCACGCAGAAGTCGACGAAAATGTGTTTGCTGAGGAGTCCTTCGCTCCGGTAATAGCCCTCATTTTTAAGATATTAAAGAACGGACCAGCGGATTCGACACGTATAAGGTGTATTTGCGGTTCCGGCATCCGCGCCGCAGTCACCGCGACATTGATTCCTCAGCACAGATGACATTGTTTCTCTGATGTAACACAGAGCGCCCGAGTTCGGAGCGTGCGCCTGGGCATCTCCTGCCCAGATGTTTCCATCGCAGAGAAAGCTGTCGCCCACTATCCTTGCGCGCGAACTAGCACCGGCGGCGGCGGTTAAAAGCAAACAAACAATAAAAGCATGAAGCATCCGGGGCCCCAACTTCTTAGGGTTTCAGGAACTTTCTTTCCTTAATTCTTTCAGCCTCTTGCCCGGCGACAGAGCAGAGCGCATAATGGGGGGCGTTTCAGTGGGGTTTTTCGTGTCACGTGCAAAACGTGGCCTGTGCTTTTCAAAGGTGCAGAGCCCGCCTTGCAGGGCCAGTTAGTGGGGGCAAAGCACAGAGCGCGCTTCAGCCTGTGGGCAGAACCCAGACCCCGCCTGGGATTCACAGCAATTCCATTGTATTGGGGCTTTAAAAAAATCCATTGTCTCAAACTAGTGCTTAAAACCTGCCCCGGGGCCCTGCTGCTCCCCAGCACATCTCTAGTAGCCTCGGGGAATTTGCCCCTGGGAGGTTAGGCGTGTGCAGTAGAACAAGAGGCACGAATACCACCCAACTGCTCCGCACACAGGGGCTGGGGCCTCTACACTCGGCGATAGAGACCCTCTTTTGCAACCTTTCAAATGAACGCGCTGAGCCCCTGAGGACGAAATAATCAAGGTGTTAGGAAAACTCAACATAACACTGGGGGTAAAGAAGAGGGTGTCGAAAAATGACGTGTTCCCAAAGCATCAGAAAAAAAAAATACATAGTTTCCAGGGTTGCAAAAACCGGCTTTCCACAGCGGAGCTATTTACTCAAGTTTATTTCCAAAGTGACTGCCTGTTGAATTTGCAAATCACAGAATGCAAATGAGGATAATTTGTTCTCGGTGGGGCTTTCTCTTGAAATGATTAGCAAAGTCAGTCATTTGAAAATTGGAGCGAACGCACCGCCGGTTCCGAAGCCCCTCGCTAATCGATATCAGCTTCTAAAGTTTTCATTCATGTAAACCTCATTAATGAAGATCTTTTATTTAAACGTCAAGGGGATTTGAAATTTAGAGTAAATTATGAAGCTTGTATGTCTAGCCAAGTCATGGGTCAAATGCATTTGTAAAAACTGCTAAAAGAGCATATGGTTTTGAATTTTTCTACAATGACTAGTGTTTAAATAAATTGCTTGTACTGCTTAACTTCATGTGTAATTTTGACAGAAATTGGCCTATAGCCTTTTGATATGTAAACATTTCAGCCTTTTATGCGGCATAAAAAAGACACGTGCTTTTGAGGACCAGCTCGGGCGGTCACCCTGTAATTCAGAGGGCTGGCGCGTACCATTACATTCTTGCAAGATTTCAACTTTCAAGTGGCAGCCTCGGGGAGAAAAAAAAGAAAGAAAGAAAGAGGATATTTCAAACGCAATGTCCATTTGAGATGAAAAGCTGCAAATGAGGTGAGAACGTGCCACTTAGCTATCTGAAAGCAATGGGTAAACCATAGTTATTAAAGAACATTTTCTGTCATTTTTCTTTAAGCCAGCCCGTCGGAGGGGGTACTTAAGCAGGGCCGGGACTGACTGGCATGTCATTAAATGCTCGTCTTAGCACCGAGCCGATCAGTCCAACATACAAATAGGTGTTAAAAACTCGGTATCACTTCAGGTTGTTCCCGGAGAAATGGCTCCGTGTCACCGAACCCATTAAGATGCAAACACCACTCGGTCTCAGAAGAGAGCCATGGCGGGCATGGAAGTACTGGGCACAATGGTCGATCCCAGCCGTGCACGGGGTTTTTTTCCTGGGTGGGAGGCTGTTGGTGGGAGATTCAAAGTCTGTGCAGGGTGCCGTTCCGGACTGCCGGGCCGCCAGGGTTTCTGAATCTGCATAAACCCCTTTGTTGCTCATACATCCGTCTCCCCTACATAAGCATGGGAATGTGGATTGGTCGGTGTCACCCAGGGGGGTTGGGAGCACGCGCCCTACAGTTGCTAGACTGAGCCACTTGACCTCGTGGGGCTGGGGCAGGGCAGGCACCCCCTCCACTCCGTTCTCCAGTCCTGGGGCGTTCATCATATTTGTCATACACAGACTTTCCCAGAGACCTGGGCCCCTGGCTGGAGTTGTGGAGGTGTTGGGGGAGAGAGGACGCTCCTGGAGCAACGGGGACCCCTTTCTTGGTAGACAGTTGAATTTTCAGAACAAAACAAAGGAGATCCTCCTTATAAAATCCGAGCGGGGAGGGGGGGTATGTAATTAAGAAAAAAGACTCTGGGAAAGACAGGAGGAGGCGTTTATTTACATTTCGGATGCATTCCAACACATGGCATTACGGTCAGCAAACCAGGGGGACGGTCACGTTCCCTGACGTAAAGGAGCCACCAGGCGTTTGGTGTGTTTTTCTCTTTCTTTCTAAGCGGTCTGCAGTCCCGTCTAAACTTTCTGTCCATCTTGACGTGGATAAGGGTCACTTTTTTCATTAGCTACAGTTTTAAAGTTCTTTAAAAAACAACAACAACAAAAAAACCCCCACAAACAAT